TCTGAAGTGTCTTATTCCTTAGAATACTTAACAGAGACCGATTAGAGCCAAAACCTTGCAGAGGCAAAACCATGTCCTGAGTTGTTATGCTGATCAGCAGCTGTTCACGCCACGCTGAGCCTGGGTTTATGGATGAATGGCTGTCACGTGCAAACGTGTTGGGCGATGAACTGGGGTCTCCCTGAAATGCTAAGGCATAGGGTGTTTGTCGCAGAGTCCTGCAGCTGCTGACTGTGGCTTCCAGTGCTGTTCAGTTGTCCGTAAGACTGAGTAGTGAGCTCTTTCCAGCAGCTGAGCATGGAGAAGAATTCTTATACCCTGCCCAGGACTACATGCAAGCTTTGTGTTTGGGTTGGAAACGTTCAAGACCAGTTCTGTCAAGTTGGAGTTTCACGTTGGGGATGTGCTAACTCTTTACGTTAGTGGCTTTGCTGCCTTTGCTGATGGGGGAGGGCATGTTTGAGGGGTAAGCACCTGCCGTGACCACAAGGCACCCGTCTGCTGCAGGCACCCATCTCGTTTCATCTTTTCTCCTGCAGGAAAAAAGGTGGCAAGAGTAGCCAACGCGCGGTTGGACACGTTCAGCAGAGAAGTCTTCCGTCACGAGGGTCTGAAAAACCTTGTGCGCCTGGCGAGAGTGCGAAACCATTACATCTGTAAGTGCCCCGTCTTCCCCGTAAGGTAGAGCCCTGCTGGGGTTTGTGCAAACAAGCGGAGACTGGCCAGCGTGTAGAGCTGGGTCTCTGCCTCCCCCTTCCCCCAGCATCCTCAGCAGTCTTACATTCCTGTTCCAGTGGGTAACTACTGAGGCTTGTGGTTTGGTGTTGCTTTGGGATTGACTGTGTTTGTGCTTCCTGTGGCAAATGTAACCTTTTGTCTGGCTGTGAAGATCCGGCTTGTTGGAAGTGGGGTGTAAGGGAAGAGGAGGGCCAGGAATGCTGGAGCCAGACATAGGCTGAAGCTGCCCAGTGGCCGTGCTGACTCGTGTCTTCTGCACAGTTTCAGTGGAGTCGACGGGTATCTTGCCTCCAGATGTGCTGGTGAGCGAAGCCATCAAGATCCTCATGGGAAAGTGTCAGCGCTTCCTGAATGAGCTGGACGCTGTGCCTATGGACTGATGGGGCCGTTGCTGGGAAGCACGTCCCTGCACTGCTCTTCTGGGCTTCCTGCACCTGCCTGCAGGAGCGATTCCTCTTCCATAGGCAAGAGGTTTGAGATGGGCTTGCCAAGAGTCCTAGGACCATCCGTTGCCTGTTGGTAATGAGCCTCAGCGAGGAGATGCACTAAAATAAAGGCTTTTCCTTACAGCTGTCTCCTTCTGTGCTGTTCACAATTGTGAGACTTTAACACACAGAGAAGAAAGTGGCGGCGGGTCTAAAGATGAATGGTAGCATTTATTTCAGATTGCGTGCGGTATGTGAAGAGGACTGATGTGGCGGTGCTGTACAGCACTTCGCAGCAGGTCAGTGGTTTAACAAGTCAGTATCAGCGCAGGGCTGTTTTGCAGATGTCTCAGACCTGCTCTGGGTTAGTTAATGTGGTAAAGGCTGTACTGTCAGCAGGCTGGAGCACCTCTCCTGTGAAGAAGGGCTGACAGTTGGGGTTGCTCAGCCTGGAGAAACCTCCAGGGAGATGTTTATTGCAGCCTTTCAGTATATAAAGGGGGCACGGAAAAAGACTGTTTACCAGGGCCTATAGTGCCAGGAGAAGGGGCAACGGTTTTAAACTGAAAGAAGGTAGACAGAGACTGGACATAAGACACTTATTTACAACTAAGGTGGTGAGATGGTGGAACAGGTTGCCCAGAGAAGTTGTGGATATCCCATCTCTGGAAGCGTTGATGGCTGGGTTGGGCAGGGCTTTGAGCAACCTGACCTAGTGAAAAGATGGCCCTGCCCACAGGGCGGGGGGTTGCACTAGGTGTTCGACAGTCCCTTCCAGCCCAAACCATTCTGTGATTCCATGATACAGCACTGGGCTTCTCTGTGCAAAGGTGGTTTAAAAACATGCTCTGTAAGGCCTGACTGTCCTTTGGTAAATAGCTCTCAGTAAGTTGTTAGTTCCCAGGTGTTAGATTTTACTACTCTGTTCTCCCTTTCAGTGACCGAACGTACTTTGGGGTGACCTTGAAGCAGAACTGGAGAGGGCAAGCAAGAGTCAAAGGCCTGTCTCCACCCAGGGAGGACTTGCAAGTTAGTCTCAGCGGTGAACGCTGCTGTTAGCACCGGGTAGGTCTTGGCTTGCGAAAGTCTCTCTTGACAAGCTGATAAAGGAACTGGAACTTCAGAGAAAAGCTGGGAGTACTGGTGTGTCCCAGTTGTTTGATCCTTGCTACAAAGCTAGAACTTCGTGTAGCCATCACGTGTTTCCTGTCTGTTAGGGTGGACATGCTGTAGGGAAGAGGTATGCCTGGCCTCCTGGCTGCAATCCCAACCTGTCCGTATCACTGCTGTGCTGCAGGCACATGCCCTGCTTCCAGATTTTTTTTCCAAGACAGGTGGTAATTGTTTGCTGGGGAAAGTGGCTGCTTCCCTGTCAGGCCTGTTCTGGGAGCTGTCAGTGTTGCACTGACACTTCTTTCAGCCGGCTAGCGAGGACCTTAGCTGCTGAAACCAGCCCACCTTCACCCACTTACCCTTAGAAGGGACTGTTGGGAATGCAAGAGCTAGGCCTAAATCCTCTCATCTGTACCTCCTGCTTTAGAGCTCCTGCCAGCCTTAGCCAAGATACCTCCGCAGGGCCTCTTGCTCGCTCCAAATGGCGGCAGCTCAGCTGCGCAGTACCTGCCTCACAGGTACAATGAGCATGGGGTCTACTCCCAGTGCCAGCGTAAGCACCCGAAAGTTCTTTCCATCCAGACACCACCCTTTAGGTGTTAATCCCATCTGAAAAATAGTAATTTCTAAGATGGATCATTTCTGTTTAAACACGCTGAAGCAGCTTCCACACCAAGCTGGATTACAGCTGGGGCCTCAGAAAAAGGTTTTTTAACAACAACTTACATTGCTGTTGCTCGGGCTCACCTCTTTGAGAATGTCTGCTTTTGCTCTAAGAGAGACCTTCCATGCAGCCTTCACGAGGTGGAGGGGCCAGACCAAAGGCAATAGCTACATCACCTTCCTGTGTTACGGCCAAATTACAGTTCTGACCCAAGACACCGCTCCTACCAGCAGTAGCTAGGGCTGGGCTTGGAGGCTGCTTCACTACCACGTGCACCTTCCAGTGGTGTTGCTTCCCAGAGTGCTTACGGGGCTTACCCTGGAACAGCCGTGCCATAGGGTTTCACTTTGGCAACACTCACCCTTCAAGCTGTAAACTGGGACCGAGCGGCTGTTGTGGAATTCATATAAACCAGCTCTGAGTGACACATTATTACTTTTAAATGCTGTTTTCCCCTTGCCTCCTAATGTAATGACGTAGTCTGGTTCACCCCCTCCCTGGTGAGGTGTGGTGACTGCCAGCAAAGGTGTTCCCGTTTTGGGAGCTGGAATAAGGAATGTAGAAAAAATCCTTAGGGCGGCAGTGTGAGTAGAACAGAGGTCTCAGATCTTGCTGAAACAGATAAAAGAATAAAAATGAAACCGTGACACCATGTGTATGAAACTGGAATAACTTTACTGACATTCAGAGGTGTAACACAACCAGTTCAGAGACGGCTTCAGATTTAAACGTTCCTACAAAAAAGGTTCTAAAAACCATTAAAAAAAACCCCCTTGTGTCTAGCATGAAGTCACAGAATGTTAAAAATCTCACAACACAATAAATACACCCAGCCTTTGCCAGAGCCAGGAGCCTCATTAGCTCAGAGGTTAAAAAAGTTTGAGGCCAGGAGGGAAGCGAAGGGTGCTGGTGGAACAGCATGGGCAGGAGGGCGAGTGGATGCCCGAGACCTGCTCTTTCTTTCTGCGCTCCCACCCCTCCCAACCCCAGCTTTTCTGTCCAAGCAGAGACACCGCCTTCTCCATCCACTGCAGTTTATTACTTGTTCTGTCTCCTGATGACAAAACTGCCAGCTAGTTCTGGACAGAACCTCTCGGCTCCTGTGCTAACGGTGGGATAAGATTGAGCGACCCATTTGTCGGGTAAGAAGAACCAGCTTTGCAGACTGGAGTGGTCTGATAGAGTCCCACCTCATCTAAAAACCCAGTTTCTGACCTGTTGCCCCCCCTGTAAACTGCAGTATAAACCCCACCCCTCTGTCCCACCAGAGTTCTCCGAGAAGTACCAGACTGGGTAAAAACACAGGCTACTGTCACCTCCACAGCAACGGGGTGAGGAGATCCCTTTTGGTTTGCAGGTGCTTCAGATATTGGTCCAGATTTTGTGTACCCTGCGCTGGCCGTGTACTAGTCTACAGGGCATGGTAAAAAATAATAAGTAAAACAAACAAAATCGCTCCTGCTCCCCCTGAGAGATGTCCAAGGAAGGCTGGCACAAAGTAAAAGCCTTCCATTTGGCTCTGGGTAGAACAAGCTGTATGATCACATACACATACCTGTGTATATATGCATGATAGCGTCTGCCTCCTCCAGAGCAGTGGCACCTTAAAAAGGCTGGTCTGGAGGGAGATCCTACAGCACTGCTAGGCTTCCTGGCACACCGCCCCTGGCCCCAGGCTCAGCGTCCTGGAGGCAAACCCGCTCAGGACAAGCGCTGATGGGCATGACGGGAGTGTCGGATGTGTTCCCTGCAAAGTCTGGCTACTAGCACCCAGAGGAAGATGAGGGTCACCCCTTTTCACATGGCGCGCTACTCTGCCTTTTGCATTCGTCCTAAACCCCAAGGGATGAAAAAGCAGAGCAAGAGTGACCCCAAGGCTACAGGATGACCAGGCTTTACCTAACGGAGTCTATGGGCTCAGCTCCCACCCTGCAGAGAAGCAGAGGTCTAAGGATGCTCATCCAACGGAAAGGAGGGGAAGGAATTGGGAAAGCTTAATAGACTGGTTCAAATGCCACCGCAGGCCCTGTGCCAGTGTAGGGAGAATGGGACAGGACCCTTAAGGGGCTTTATTCAGACGAACGCTTGTGGAGGCGATGACAAGGAGAATCTAATGTGCTTACTATGAGGAGAGACAAAAATAGAAGGTAGGGGAGGAGATGGTTGCAGCATCCCAGGATCAGGGCTCAAAGAGTGCAGTGAGGCCCTCTCCATCCTCATTTTCTATCATGTCCGTCTCCAATGATGGCTTCACCTTTTTGAAGAGCGATGGGAGGTTCCGGATATGCACCTCCTTGCGGAACTGCTCCCCGAGGGGCTTCTGCAGAGGACAGACAGGCAGGCATCGGTCGTCATGACCTTCACAGCCCCGCTCAGCTCAGAGGCAGACCCCAGATTCCGAGCAATCCCTAGGCCCAGACCCTGCCCCTGCATTCTGGGAACTCTCCCGCCGGGGCTGGAGGTCACCACCAGTGCACCAGCTCCCTAGCTCCTAACTCATGCCACCAGGCTCCAATGCCACCGCCCCTCACAAAAGCCCAGCACCCCCTCAGCAGCTTTGCTCAGACATTTTAACACCCTGTTACCCCCCTGGGAAGCCTTCGTGTGCGGTACCCCCTGCCTCTCAGCAAGATGCCATTGCTGGAGGGGCTGCTCGGTCTCTGCTGCCATCCTCCTGCACCCCAGGTTGAAGGGAGGTGGCATGAGAACATGCTGCAACAGCTTTCTGACGGGGAAGGGGGTGGTTGGGCAGTCACTTCTGCGGGGTTACCGGCGTGAAACGAAAACAGGTTCGTTTTCCTCCCAGATATCACTTACCCCAATGCAACCTGTGATAAGGCGCTTGAAATGATCCTTCCGGCGCTTGTCTGCCACCTTCTGCAGCGATGGGTTGAGAAGCTTTGAATCAAACTGCTCCAGAGAGTCCCTCTGGATGTCTGGAATCTGCTCCATCACGGCCTTCAGCTCGGTGTAGCGAGGGCGCTGCACGAAAGGCACGGTTAACGCAGCTCCGCTAGAGGAGCGGCCCTGCCCTCCCTGGGGGCCCATAAGCCCCAATCAAAAGGGCATGGGATTAGTTTTCCACCACTCCCCAGCCAATCTGGCACCTGGACAAAGAGCAGGATTTCTCACCAAGGCCTCGTAGATCTGGAAAGCCAGGTGGACAAGAGCTGCCATGCAGCCATCGTGCTGCCCGTGTATCTGTAAGCCCTTCAGCACGCTTATGTAAAACCAGGACACGGCATCAGGCAGGAGGTTTCCTGGAAGCACCTGGGGAGAGGCACTGTCAGCACGGAAGCCGGATACCCATACGACTGCCTTTCTGCAGCAGCTCAGCCTTCCCGAGGGAGATGGTGCCCAGAGGTGAAGCAGCCACGCTTCTCACTGCATTCCGAGCTTCCTCTCCCAACCCTGCCAGCACTAATCCCTTCTTCCTCCAGAGGTACCTGTTTGAGCAGCGGCCAGCAAAGCTGCGTTGTGGTTCTTTGGCAGGACAAGGTGTCCTTCCAGGAGAGGGATGTGTAGGCTGTGATCAGCAGTGCGGTGCAAACATCCTGAAAGGGAGTAGAGGGAATCTGGTGAGAGGAACTATTTCCCACCTCCAGGGTTCATACCTGAAGGGAGCCAAGCAGCAATCCAGGGTCTTTGCAGGAGCTCCTCGGGGCTAGCTTCTGAGAATCCTGCGTGCTGCTGCTGCTCCAGCTGAAGGTGCTCCAAGGCACCCAGCGTGCACCATCGCAGCCGTGAGGAACCATTGTCAGGCAAACCTGCTCCCTTCATCACCCACGGGCTCCCATCAGCTGCCATGCTCAAGACAAGCACAGAAGTTTATGCAAGAGCTCCTGCCGCAGGAGAGGAGGGAGTACAGAGGTACCAGGGTGACGGTATTCTGCACAGTGGGGTGTGGTAACGCTTGGGCTCCTCTGCCAGCTCTGGCAGATTTTACGGAAGAGAGGAGCTGCTGGGTGAAGTTTCTCCTTGTGAAGGCTGGCACCCAGGCTGGAGGCAGAGCCAGGGAGCACCCTGAATGCCCAGGGCCTTGCCCACAGAAGGGCTGACACCCTATGGCTGCATTTTATGCTGGATCCCAACCCCCACTGGCTTTGTGGCTTTCTGCAACCCTTAACAAGGCCCTTAAAAAACATGCACGTTCCCGAGAGAAGATGGTCACGCTGGGGAATGCTCCAGCAGCCTACATTTCTCCAGCAGCATCTGGCTGCACCCCAGACAAGCATGACAAGGAGTACAGAGGAAAGAAGGTAGAAGTCAGAGCACGCGCCCTTACCTCCTGCTTCGTCAGACACTTGCCGAGCTCGGTGAGCTCTGCGCTGGCAGGGGGAGTCACCTCCGTGGCCATCGCCTCGTCATCTGCAGGGCAGAGCAAAGGCGGCACTATGAACGCAGCCCCCTGAGGTGGGGAGGCAGGCACAGGGAGGCAGAGCAAGGACTAAGCTGGGGGCCAGGGGACAGCACACAGAACTGGTGCTAGCACAGCTTGCCAGAACATCTCTTTCCCAGCAGTAAACACCCACCCTTTGTGGGGCAGGAAGGGCACCCAACTAGCTAATTCCAGCTCTTGCGAAGATCGTGCATATCCCCCTCTTTTCCTCAGCCACCTTCTTGGTACCTTGAGGATCGGCTCTAACATGTGAACCCTACAGCGCAATGGGGTTTTTCTGTGCCTCCCACCCCCCCGCCATGGGCCAGGAGAGCTGTAAGCTTGGTCCCACACCTATACCCCTCACGCAGAACTTCAGCAACAGCCCAGCCTCTCCCTCCCAAGGAACGGGAAAAGCGCTCGCACGCACCAAGGGGGAGGAAAGGCAAAGGTGGGCATTTACTCACCGTCTCCGTCTACAGCAGCAGTAGTGTTATGCTCAACGCCTTTCTTCGAAACACAGCAAACAGCTGCAGAAACAGTTGCAGGTCAGAGGAGCAGAAAAGGGAAGATGCTACCTCAGGACATGCAGAGACCTTCCTACAGACTCTGGTGAGCTCACAGCTGCTCCAGGCCGCCCCAGCTCTTACACGCTGTCTGAAGAACCTGAGAGCCCGGTATAAAACCCACAGGCTGCATTACCTGGAAGGCTGAAACACCCCACCCACAGCAGCCTCCCACAGTAGAACCTGCTGCACGGTGGCTGCTTCAGACTACCGAGATCCAGGATCGTGCAAAACCACCCGATGCCTAGAACCTGAGAAGAGCAGCACCTTAAGGCAACAAGGCCAAGCAAGGAGATGTAAAGATTGAGGACCTGTAATCTCTCTGCAGAGTCAATTTTCCCAGCCTATCTGCTCGAAGCCACGTGGGCAAAACCAGGATGTTGGAGAAAGGGAACACAAAGGAATTGCCTGGGGGTAGGGACTCTTCCCTTCTGTCTGGCTAGAGACAGGGTGGTCGCCAGCAACAGAACTGCTGCTCTGCACTCATGTCGTCCCCAAATCAATGCCCCAACTGGGCTCCAGGGCACAGAACGCAAGAATCCGGATTCCAGAGGACTGGATTCCTACAAGAACCGTACCAGAACCATGGAGCGCTAAATGAAAGAAAAAAACCCCTCTCTTCTGAAGCTTTTAATTATTCTATTACTAGGTTTTAGCTAAGATTTTGGCAGGGTTATCTGTCTCATACCTGACATCTAAAGCCTCTAAATACTACTGGCCATTATAGTTCAGTTTTACTACACAGTGGAAATTCCTGTTGTCCTTTCCAGGGCAAACTTCCCAAATATCCCAGGGCACCTAGCTTGATTTCACTTACTGATGAGATCCATGACTTCTCGGGTCAGCAGCCTGACCAGCTGTTCCTCAAGCATCTCCTGAGATTCGGGGTTGTCGTCTGCAGCATCATCCTCACTGAGGAGAACAGGTTTTAGCGCGAAGGGAGGCGGTGCCAACGCATCCCCTTCGCCCAAGCACAGGAAGGCAGTCACCATCAGGGTAAGCACAGCGTCTTCCAGCCTTCTCTGGATGTTCCCTGGGCAAAGGGCCAAACCTTCATCCCACTTCCCATTTTCCCCTTCAGTATCAAGGTGTGAGAAGCTTACCAGAGCATGCTTCGCTGGCTGATCACCTGCCACTTCTGAGACAGCCTCTGTTCAAGATAAAAGGGAAGAGGGAATACATTCCTAAGGAGCCATGCTGGACACAACGCAAAGAGGCCCAAGTGCCACTCTCACTTGGAAGCAGCGATGGCTGCCAGTAGAAGCACAGCAAGGGCTTTAAACACAGCTCCCACAACAAGCCCCGTTTTGAATCAGGACAAGAACTGCTACCAAAGCAAGATGCCATGGCTGTGCTGGCTGTAGGATTCTGAGTGAGATGACAGGAAAATGAGGGCACACGGGCAAAAGAAAAACCCCCAAAAACCAAAATCCCACAAGAATTTTCAGGGCTGAAGGCTGAGGAGCTGATTTGCAGAGGTCTGAATTCGCAGCAAGGGGTGCTGTGCAATAGCCAGGGTTCAACTCACCTCAAAAGGCTGCCCCTCCCCACACCCCTGCCCCAGCATCAAAATCATGCAGCATCAAGGCTCTGCCCTCATCTCCACTGGCTTTGGCGAGACAGACGTTCTCACAGGTTGCTGCCAGCCGCGACAAGGGCTCCGGGCTGCCAAGGAACAGGCTTCTAACAAGCTATTTTCTTACCATGTGCAGGTAGGTAAAAAGTGGTCCCAGCATGGGGCAGACGAGGGTTTCGTAGTATTCTGAAGGGCAGGAGAGTACCAAGGGCTTCACAAAGACACCTGCACAAACCGGTTTAAGGAAGAAACCCAGCACACACAGCCAGCTGCCAGGGAGGCTGCAGCACACCACCCAAACCAGCCCATTCCCCTGGGAATGCCAAGCGACAGCCACCTCGAAGCCCATTGTCTCACAGCCCCGGCTTCGCACGTGGCTCCTCTGCACAGCAAGAGCGTGCGGTATGCAGCCTTTTCCCCGGAGAGTTCAGCTGAGGGTGCTCAGTGCCCCTTTCCTAGCTGTGAGACTGAACAGCCAGCCCTGGAAAGCGGGCTGCGAGCCCCAGACAGTCTCCCACACAAGCACAAAGTCTAGTCAGACACCCGACTGCCAAACTCCTACAACTATCCCAAGCCCCCACTGTGGCACTACCGGACCACACGAATCCTTTGCATTTATTCTCTCACCCCATGCACTGCTGTTTCTGCTCCTGCTCTCCTAGGCTCACACCTCCTCCACACCAGGTGTATCCCTCTATGTTTACCTCCTCAATCACCTGAAAACAACGCTAGGAAGCCAACAGGTTTTCAGTTCACATGCTCAAAACCTCCCAGGCTGGCCTAAGACAGCGACGGAAGGATACGGAGCATGGGACGCAGCCTGTAATCAGGAATGTTGTTGAGGTTGATGAAAGCTGAGCTGAGGAGCTGGGTGGCAAGACCCTCAACGGTGTAGAAATCCTGCTGCATGGAGGGGCCTGCGTTTCCGAGGATGTGGAAACTTCAAGAGAAAACAAGTTAGTTGCAAGTCTGCTAGGTAACAGGTACCATGCCCCTGGCCTGCAACAGCCGCAAGTACCATCATCTCCAGATCAGGTAATTTTAGCACAGTATCTCTCTTTCTCTGGGATGCCTGCAGAGGGACAACAAATTAAGCACTTAGGCACTAAAATGCCTTTTCAAGTGCTGATGTATCCTAACACGTGATTAAAAGTTGCAAAGGGACAAACTACTTCAGGATATCAGAGAAGTGCCCCAGTCCGACTACCTAACTAAAAGCAGATCCACATTTTAAGGTACTTTTTCCAGTGACTGTCCCACGTGTATGTGGTAGGTTACAACCACCGGGCATAGTTCACCGCTGCAGCTCATCTTGGACATTACAAAATGGAGTTCACATGACGAGTCTAAGTCCAGAAGTTGTGTGCAATAGCCTCCTGCTCCAGCTGTGCCACACTGGATTGTGTTTGGGATATCTGGCACTCTTACCAGTTGTCGTAGAGGGTACAAAAGAAGCCCTGCATCCTTTCTAAGACCGTTTTGTAAACAGGAGAGTCATAAAGCTCCAGCAGAGGCTGAGGGAGACCTGTGGGAGAAAAAGCCAAGCTTCAGCCTCCTCATTTCTCCAAAGCAAAACTTCGCAGAGCTACGAGAACCCAGTCAGAAGCAAAGCTGACAGTTGTGCAGCCCCTCAAATAGCCCATCCCTTCAGGTTTGTATTCATCTTTCAGGACCCAAGCTACTGCTGAACTACAACATTAAAAAGTTTAGAGCAGAGATCAAGGCCCTGCTGCTTTGTGCAGCAGTTCACAGACACAGTTTAGAGGTCACAGAGAATAGGTAAAGGAAGGAAGCATCTCCTCATTTTACAGATGGGAAACGGCGATAAGAAAGACAAGGCAACCACCCCAAAATATCTGTCTGTCAGGACCTGAAATTAACCCCCAAATTCCAGCCATGGTCCACACTGTATCCACAAGGCCACCCACTTCAGCTTGGCTGGAAAGGCTTAAATGTTCACAAGCTCAAACCTCTTTTAAGACAGTTGCAAAAGGCTCTTTCTAATACACCCTCTGGAAACAAAAGAGAGGGCCATCCTGCAGGACTTGGATCTTGCCCTCCAGGCGAGGTCTCTTCTCCAGCACCCAGGGATGCTGCTGAGTGAGCACTGCTGCTCAAAGGCAGAAAACTACAGCAACTCCCCCGGTCTCCCCAGCCTGAAACACTGTGTTGCAGAGACCCCTACCCGGCTGGGAGGAGCGGTTTGGTAGGGCACCTTCATTTCGTGCAGAAGGAACCACTTTCTCTAAGACCAGTAACCGATTTAACTTCATCGTTTCAGCAGGTTCAAATCACAGCTGAACTACAAATACTGTGAAGCAGATGGCTGTCCAGCCCCTCTTCACTCCCACTGCTGATGGACCACTGCACCGAATGCCTCTGAGAATGTGCCCCCACGCTCCCCCTGTAGAGAAGCCCTTACCTAGGATGGCATTCTTCTCCACCTCCAGCATGTCCAAGGCCTTGGCGAACGTTTCCCCCAGCCTCGCCACCATCTCTGGCATGTAGAGATTGTTGTGGGTCCTGAAACAGAAGAGCGCTTGGTTTATACTCGTGTGGGTCGAGCCCTTTTGCCCTTGACAGTGGGATCCTCTCCTTCAGCTTGTGAACAGCTCCTCTGAGGCAGATGATGAGGAAGGCGAGACCAAGCACGTGTGCATGGGATCCCCCTTCCCCACCTGCGGAAATATTGGGGAAGCTGACCCGACAGAGACGTGGAGTGGCTCCACCTCATGTCCTGAGTCTCCTGGCTGCCCCTTCCACTCATTTCAGCTCACCCCACCCCTTGCAAGCACTGGCAGTAAAAGCTCCCAGCAGTTCTCCAATCAATGCTGGCAACAGCTTATTAGCTCGGCCAGAGGGACCACGGAACGTGTTTTAAAAACTGACAAGACGCGGATTCTGTCATTTCAAAAGATCTTCTGCACTTAAGACCCCTGCAGAGGGAGGGGCTGTTTCAGCTCCAAAATACACACACTGCCCCCCAGGGATGGGTCACAGTCCCCAGAATGGCAGGTGGCATTGGAGGGACCCTAGGGAGAACATCAGCCCAATCAGATGTTACTGGTGGCAGACACACGTGCCCCCTGGACTACACATCCAGCTGGGAACAATTCCGCATCATCAGGAGGCGGCCACGGTCAGCTCTCCGCATGGGACACCGATTCAGCCACGGGTGGCTGGTTCTTGCCATCCAGGCCAAAATGGGTCCCCTCTTAGCCAGGGTACTGACACTCAGAGCTGGACTCGCAGGGGGTGTCTCTCTCACCTACCTCTCTCCTTTGAGACCTCAGACCTCCACTCTGGGTGTCGCCAGCTGCACACAGCACAAATCCTGCAGCCTCCTCCAAAACTGCAATGCCATTGTACCTGCTGCTAGAGGTGATCAAGGGCAACTCAGTATCTCCCCCTAGAGCAGCGTTTCCCAAAGCAGGGGGTACATGGGAATGGCTGGGGGAAGGGAGCGCAGACAGACCTCAGTATGTTCCCCAGAGTCTCAGCTTTCACTCATGTCTTAATAATTTATCTTTTTTTCTTTTTAAGGTCTCTGTTCACAGTCCTGGCAACCCCGATGCAGTGACATCTGCCTGAGTTTGCAGAGAGCCTGAGTTAGCTCCGAAAAGGCTACTACTACCACATTTCTCTCTGCAAGTGTTAAATACTTCCCTGCCCACTGCATGCGAGGAAGGCAAGTATGTAAGTTTGGTAAGAGAGAGCTACACAAATGACTTCTCAATGAGTCATACTCTCATTCTGGGCTGGATCTAACACCATGCAACAGGCCTCAGAGGGGACACAACCTGATTTTACCTTCCCAAGAGAGGCTAGGGAGCAGCCCAGCCTCCACAAAAGTTTGGATAATGTCTTTCCACTGACTCAAAAATTGTGCATTTCAGCTTGAGACTATCCTGAAACCTAGCTACTGAAATCATCTCTTCTTGTATGTCTCCTGCCTGCTCCGTGCCAACACTGGCTTTGCCCCATGCTGGGCAGAAGGGTGAACCCAAGGACCATGAAATTGCGGGGGTGAACCTTGAAATCCCACTGCTCTAAGCCCAGCAGGGCAGGTCAGACAGTCACATGGCAGGGGGGTTGGAACTAGATGATCTTTAAAGGTCCCTTCCAACCCAAACCATTCTGGGAGTCCTGATATCCTGAAGCTGTGGCCATGGTCCTCAGTTGTTCCAGAGTCCTTGAACCATTTTCTCCCGTGTGACAGCTGGGAGGGCAGATGTTCACTTGCAGGCCGATCTCCCTTAATGAATACTTTAGCAAGGTCCCAGTGGTAACGGAGAGAAAACGGCTGACCAGCTGCTCCCCACGGGAGTTATAAAAGTATCCAACAACCCTCACACACGTTGAACATGTAGCCCCTAGGCACGTTCCAGCTGAGACTCTCAGCAGTAAGCAGGCCTCCTGGGCATCCCACATAGGAGAACATGGAAAAACAAAATTCAGGAGACATTTATCCTTGAGAAAAGACAAGCAAAGGATATAGCAGGAGTTGGGGAGTATATTTTCAGTAACGGTCACAGTTCTGCTGGAAAGTGTCTAATGCCTAGAGAGATGGGCTTGAAGGCCAGAAGATGAGTCCTTTAGGATGGCCCATGCTCGAAGAATCTTGATCTAAAGCTGGAGCCGTTTACATGGAAAATGCCTACAGCATCCATGTCTATCCAACAATTCTTTCACCAGCATTAATGCCTTGGTAATGTCAGCATCTCATCAAGAAGAGTTCCAAAAAAGCCTCTGTCCATGCATTTGCTGAGCCTGACCAGTCCATCTGTAACAAAACACGAGCAAACCCCAGCACAGTAAAGGTGCTGCAGTTCATGCAGCTGCTGACTCCAGAAATGTGCCTTTATCTAGAGGTGGCTGGACACATGATTTGGGTTTAAATTCAGGAGAGAACAATTTAAGCCAGAAGCTAAAAAGAACCTAGCTGAAATGAGGTACCACAGAGGACAGGAGAATGATCACTCAAAAAGCTGCAAGCGGTAACCAACAACACAACCTCAAAATCATTCCGTAAATACAGCTACCAGACAAATACGGGTAGGCACAAAAGCATGTCTCTGCCACCAGAAACTACCTTATTTTACCTTGTCACCTGGACTCCCTCTCGGCTCTTCAGTCTCATCTATGACCTAGCTTCCAGCTACTTACCCTGGCAAAGACCCAACGGCTTAGCAACTTCACTGCTTCTGCCTGCAAACAGAGCGGAAGAACGGCACCCAACATCCGGAGAGCAGCAGAGCCAACTGCTCGGCCTGCAAAACGCCCTTTCTTGCATGCTGGTGCCTGACTCGGTGCTCAGTTCAGCTGCTCAGCAGGATCCGTGCTGCTGCTACGTGCAGATCTGCTTGCGCAGTAACCTGCACATGCATGTGAGCAACACCGGACCTTGCTTATCCCCGCAGCTCTGTCCCATCACGCAGCTTTCCAAGAGAAGCACCCATCTCCAAATAGTAAAGCAACTGTGTTCCCAAAGGCATCCTCAACACAGGCAGCTTTCCTGCCAGCCAGCCAGCTTTCCTCGTACTGCCTGCCTGCTTGACAGGCTGCTACAGATTCCATATTCTTTTGTGTATTCCCTATTAAAGATGGCCTGAGGAAGCAGCACATGGAAAAGGCACTCAAAGCCAGCAAAAGAGACACCAGGAGCTCCACAGCACAAGCTCCAACTTCTCCAGAAAGGCATAAGCATCCTCAGCATTTGCACCGAGCAACTATGAGCTTGCAGGTGTCACACAGAGGCCTCTACATCCAGCAGCAGCCAGGAAAGGTACAGAGTGGAGGGACTACTGCTCTTGACAGCGTGCCATCATTCGTTGGTTCTTGTCGGAGCATCCTGCCTTACGAAAAGCCCAGATACCTCAGAGTGGAGTACAGGCCGCTCCATGTATGTTACTACCACGTGCTCGGAAAGTACTTTGGTCTGCAGTGGAGCTGCTCGAACACCACAGATGCATCCTCTCTCTCAAAAAAAAAAACCAAAAAACAAGCCACCCCAGGAGGAACAGGACCCTCTTTCTTGGTGCTGACAGGGAAGCACCGGCAACAGAACACAGCTCATGTTCTCCTGGAGGTGGTAAACAAGCAAGCAGAGAATTTCTGCTTCTTTACAGGTAGTGCAGTAGGAGTTCAACAGCCTCCTAAGCTTGTTGTAACAGAGATCCCGAGTGTTTTTAACAATGTGTAAGTTCTGGCAAGAACAGCAATCCCACAAGAAACAGTCTGTCCAGTGCAGCCCGTTCAGACCTTGGCGCTGGTTTCGTTCGTCTCCCACAATATGGAGCATGTTCCAGGCTCTGGAAGGAATGGCATGAGGCTACCTCTACTCAGGCAGCTTTACCTAACCTCTCCCAAAAGCTCATCAATAGGATCTTCAGCCTTCCAGGACAAAAGGCAAAACCACTTCAAGCACAGCTCCATAGCGTAACCAGGTGGTTCAACCACTGCCCAAAGTTCCACCTGCTGTGCTGCACAGAGCTTTGCGATGAGAAACACTGCTAGGGTGGGCCAAGACAGCATGTGCTTGTCCTACCAGTCAGGCACGTTGCTTCTCACTGGAGCATCACAGTCCTGAGCTCAGGGACCACCAAACACGCATGGCTAGACAGAGCTTGAATAATAGGGCTCCTTTCTTCACAGACGTGGCAGCTGAAAGTCTAAATGGATCTGAAAATGCTCTTTCCCAACATGCTCCAGCCAAGGACAGAGCCTCAAGTTTTCAAGTACGTAACATGTAGACTCATCTCACAAAACTGCCCCATACGCTTGTCAAAATCCCAGTGTCAGCAGTTACCCTAAGATAGATTCCTCCTTTATAATTCCGGGCACTGCATTATTCAGGATTGCCCCTTTCTGCCTTCTCTGGCTCCCTCCTCTGGCCGCCCCAGATGTACACAGCACCAGTGACGAGGCACTGGAAGGTAGCGACAGCCTGAGAGTATGCATCCACTGATTTCAGCGGCAGACAGTGCTTCAGGAGGCTGGTGTTCAGAAAACCAGCTTAATTTAACACTGAAGAGAGACCAACGCAAACAGGATGCGATGAGCTGGGACTGCCCTGGTGCTGACTGGAGAGGTGGCCTCGTAGGGGCTGAGGGCAGAGCAGAGATGTTAGTCGAGAGAGAAACAATTAACTGGGTGGCAGATTTATAGCAGTGGAGGTGGGGGAGGCGACCCCAGCCCAAGCTCCCACTGGCTTTGATGGACCCTCGTAGGCCAGGCCAAAGAACATTCAGAAGGCTCCAGTTTCCCCAGTGCCATTCCCCACTGTGAACAGTCAGGAACAGTACTTGGGCACCTGCACCAGCCTGTGTTCCCGCTGGCTTCACTGGGAGAACATGCTCCGAGCACACCATGTACTTATTACAGTTTAGCTTTCAGACACAAGTCAACAGGAATGATTTCAAGTCAACTTGACCCACCTTATAAGAGCAAGGAGGTTGTCAAGAAGCTTCAGGACCTGCTCAGTACAGGGATTACGGTAGATTGGGCTTCCACTGGGCATGTATCCCACCAGGAATCCTCCAGCTTTCGCCTCTTCAGTAGCAGCAGGCCAACGAGCCCGTTTCACAACTCCCAGGATGGTGTACACGCAAAAGCTTATCTGCGGCAAGAGATGCGGGAGAGTTTCTTAGCCAGAGCACAACCTGAATAAAGGTTTTCAGAGACACGTATCACCATCCCACCTCAAAGGGGTCACTCTACAGCAGCCTAACCTGTTGACAGGAACAAACTCTGGTGGGTTTGCTGCTGAGAAGACGCAGCAAACGATTGTGCTACATCCCATCCTCTTCAGTGACCCTTGGCCATGGCAGGAAGCCTAGGAACTCACCATCAGACAAAGCATCGATGCTTAGTCTCATGAATATGCAAGAAGCCAGGCAGGCTGCCCTCTAAAGGGAAGGGTCTGCACCATCAGTCCCTCATCTCCTTCATGTGCTGGGAAGGATTTGGAGATCTGGGATGACACCGTGGTCAGGCTGCATTAGTACCAAATCACAAGCACAGCTCAACGGACTGCATGTCAGTGCCTTCTACAGACCTAAAGGTAGCAACCCGCCTGCAGCCTGTCCAAGAAGTGAAGACACGTCGCTAACAACTCGAACAACATGAACCTCCTCGGATGAATTTTAATTCTGTCCCACGCTGCAGTCTCAGCACGGCACTTTCCACACTGCCTGGCTCAAAAAGCACAATCCACCGTATTTCCAAATGCCATTTAAACAAACCGCTTCTCCAAAACCAAACTGCCACAGAGTAGGGAGCAGCTTGCTTCACTGAGCTGAATAATCTGGTTTTGCATGGCTTACGTGCTCACTACTCTAGCTCAGAAAGGCAAAAGTGAGTGTGTTGTGCTGCAGTCTGGAAAGCCTGCTGATCTGCACCCTAAAAAAAAGTAGATGATCGGGTGTGTAACCACAACAGAAACGGGGGATGCAAGGAAGCGAGTCCCCTCTTGCTAAGGATTACACCTCTTCCGGTAATGATACTCACTCTAGAGCGGTTTAAGCCACTAGGATCTTCCAAGACTGGATCAGCAATTTTGTTGTCTGCACCCACGTAGGAGATGAAGGCTTCGGGATCTGAGAGGACTCTGGCAGCAGCAAAAGACAGCACTGGGATTACTGTTCATACCAGGGAATTTGAGCAGAGCTTTGCACTGGCAATAAACATCACAACAAATACAGAGCACGCTAGATAGACTAACTAGTGCTCCATGCTGCATGTGAACATGATGGAAAGCACCAGCAACGTATGCACTCTCCAGACATCTCCAGCTCTCTGGGGCCATGGGGACCCAAAACCTTTGAATCTCTTAAATTCTCTTATTTCTGCTGGGAACACTCTTGTGCATGCCCAGCTGCCCACTGCTGCAGGACACCTCGGCTTTAGTGAGGATAGCTCAGATTCCCAGCTTCTGCAGCCAAGCAAAGAGATCTTTTATTTCCCGTTTTCTGCAGGCTGGGAAGCATTCCTCTGTCACCTTTAACAACTCTGACCCAGCAACTCTCAACTAACAGCATTTAGACTGAGCTGGCGGTTTCAGAACTGCGAGAGAGCTATTACTGCAACAACTGCCCAGAGCACAGGAGGTGAAGAGGCACCCCACTACCCTCTCTTCTTTTGTACGTGCCCTTACTGCGACAGCTCCAGCTCGCAGCTCAGAAAAGCGACCCGTACCTCTGCATCTCTGCCGAGAGCCATAAGCCAGCCACAGGAGCCATGAGCTCCTCCAGGAAAGCTTTCTGCCGCTCGTAGTCCTTGAACTGGTTGCTGATGAGGACGAGGGCCTCCATAAGGGCGCACTTCTCCATCTGCGTCAGAAGGAGCTCGTTGGAGAGCAGCTGCTTCACGTGGTTGTACAGCATCTCAAAGTTTGGCTAGAAAACAGATCCAGGTGGAAGAGCGAAAAAAAGCATTTGGTGGAGGGTCACTGGGGGAGGCAGAGGTGGGGTGTACAGTCCTACTCGGAACGGCTGGAGGGGCACATCTAAGTTACCTTTTCCTCCCTCTTAGGCTCAAGTTTCTCTGACTGTTCAGTCTAAAAGAACCTCTTTTCTTGCCTACCTCGCTACCATCATCCTGCATCCAGCTTACTTGAATCTCCAGGATGACTGAAACAGGCAGAGGAAATCTCTCTCTCCTTGGCAGTCGTATCCCTTACGGCAGCGTCACGCCTCACAACAGTTCTGGTGCCTGTATTTGTTCACACAAAGTACCTTGCTCTTTTGGCTCTCCAGTGCCAGACGTAAGGCTCTTCCAGCCCTTTGCTCACAACTAGGTTAATAACGACTCATACGGTCACCCCAAGCGCCACAGGAATGGTTGAGTTTCTTCCCTACCTAGTTGCTGCCACATGTTCCTGTAACTTTGTAGAAGCATCAGTGCTCATCTCCCTCAGCAATATCATCTGCACGTATTTTGGGGCAGCTCTGGGCCCTTGGCTCTTCCAGTGAGGATGTCTGGCTGGCCAGGGGGAAAGAGGGAGCTGTAGTTCAAGGACCAGTAGAGTGGGACAAAGACAAAGCTCCTAGTTCTTAGCAGCTACTACAGAATGAAGACTGGAACCCCTGAATTACCTTAATTAGCATCCTCAAAAAATGTCTTTGTTTAAACTAGCAATGTCCTGCGGTGCTCCCGTAATCCTAGAGCCACCCCACACCAACACTGCTAAAGAAAGGAGTCCAGAACTAATGGTGTTGCATGCACACTGTTTGGTTCAGCCAAGCCAAACACCAGCTCATGGATTTTAAGTGTCTGTTTTTTCTAGTCTCCTCAAGCTAACCCAGAAAACAAATACTCTCTCCTTTTGCTCCCTCATTCCGTTAAGTAATGGAAGAAAGACTGGAGATCAGTCTTTGGTGGCCTCTTCAGCTAAGGAATCGACTGAGACCACCACCAGCAATAAAACGGAAATTCAGCAAACATTCCCATAAACCCAATCTAGTGCTGCTTGTATCCTCCTCCCTGCATTTAACTCACCACTTTACAATTCAGCTCTTCAGGCAGAGAATTATTTTGGGAGGGGAAGGAGGGAGGTGCAGGGAATAAAACACTTTTCCATTTGTGCAGCAGAAGAGGCTGTAGCCAAGGAAGCTGAAGACCCAAAAAATCCAGCTGAAACTGGGGCAAGACTGATAGAGTTGCATTTACATACCAGGACAAGCTGAGGGTAATCCCGACACATCTTTATGATTGAGGAGCATGCATGCCTTCTCACATTCTTCACTGCTCGAGTTCTGGGAGCCTGGACAGACATAACAAACTTCAATGCAACAAAAAAAAGTTCAGACAAATGTAGGGTATCTTCAAGAGACAAAAGCATTACATACAGTTTTCTGCACTCTCGAGCACAGATCAAGAAAGCATTTCCACACCCCACACCCCAAACAACCGCGTTCCCTCTCTGAAGCAGTAGCCAACTCAAGCAGCCCGTGTCCAAACAACCCATGCTCCAGAAGCAAGGATGCCATAGATCTTGCTCACTATTCCAAGACCCCAGGCATTCCTTAGGCAGCTTTACAGCCATCCTTCACAGCCGCAAGGATGCGCCACTGCAGAGTGCCCACAGCTAATGAAGGGACCTCACGCTCGGGAAGGCCAGCGCAGGCTGGGGGACTGAGTGCACTGGCCTTAGATCACGCCTGGGGCCTTCCAAATTTCTGAGCCAAAGGCTGTGTCAGCCAAGAGACCAGTTGTATCTAGACTTCCCAGCCCCTCCCAGGAGTAGGACTATACTTGAGAAGCTACTACAGCAGAGTCTTCAGACTCAGCACGCTCTCAAACGGAGTATGATCTGGTTCAACTGCTACAGCGTGTTAGCAGATAATAATTCAGACATACCTTACTTTCTTCTATAACCTCAAAGGTAACTGAAGCGAACAGCTGTGAGAAAAGGGAGGAAAAATCCAAAAACTCGGGTCATTTGTTAACATCTAGCACTCGTGTGTTTTGAGCTCAAGGAATAGATGGGAAGACTTTGGTGCAATTACATTAAGGTCAGTGAAGAACCCCTGACCAAGGTGAAAGATGTATCACCAGTACAGTGAGGCCTTGAAATAAAACATGGTGCTTACTGGCCCAGAGCGAGCACTTAACGTTAAGATTTAAGGCTAGGAACTGCAAAATCTATGTTACTTGACGTGATTTCTTCTCCAACAAGACTCAGTCTCAGTTTTTCCCACCAGGAAAAAGTTTTTCCACATCCAGGACAGTCCTTCCCTGACAGTAACACCAAGAGGCTTAACTCCTGCAGTTTAGTATGAGGGCCTCGCACCACAAAAAGCCTCCTTGCTGCTGGCACGGTCTGCAAGTACCTACCTTGGAAAGGACTTGCGGTAGGTATTCTGGTCGGTAAGTGACAAATGGGAAGAGAGCAGAGACGTTGGTGAGCACACAGGACAGGATGAGAGGATCCTTTGTTTCAAAATTAAGGACATGCTGCAGCAGATCTATGCCATCATTCACTGGGATTTCCTGCAGAGGCAGGAAAGAAGGACACAAAAAAGGAGGCAACACTCAGCACTTCAGGCCATAGCACACATCTTACAACTCCTAGAGCTAGGCCACGGAGCTGCTGATATCCTATCTGGCCTCTCAGCTGAACACAGCTGTTCTGAAAGCAGAAAGAAAAGCAGTAGAAACTCAGTTTAACTGTGTTCACTTGCTGAGGGAAAAAGGACAGCAGCATTGCCACTGGTAGAAGGGCAGTCTTGGGATGTCAATCTCAAGTCCCCACACTATTGCCTGCACCTCTGGAAAAGGCAATTTTCCTCTCTCTCTGTTTGGCTGCCAATTCTCCTCTTGACTCTGTCCAATGGATTTCATGCTTAACCAAATATATCAACCCACATAATTATTTTCCCGTGATTACAATGATGAACTGAAGTACATGAGTCTAACACAAAAATCAAGTCAGGCTACAGGAGACAAAAAAAATGTTTTCCTTCTGATTTGCCTGCTGTTGAACAAAAAACAGAGAAATTGCTTCTGATCTCCTGCTCCCTCAGCATGTCTCTCGTTTAGTTAACATTTAAAAAAAAAAAAAAAATCTAACCAGGGCATGATCAAAAACAAACTTGGGAAATTTCCACTTCAGCAGTCCTCCTCTCTTGCAGCAAGGCGCCATGCCAACACACCGTGCCACCTCAGCTCTCTCCTGCGACTTCTCACGGCGCAGCGTCCCAAAACGACATGTCAGAGAGTCAGACAGTATAAGCTTGGTCCCATCTAAAGAGTCACTGCTCCTCAGGAGAATCCCTCACTAAACAATCTGGGCATTTGCATGGAGGTAAACTGGTTACCACACACTTGTCAAGGACAAGAAAGCGGGAACACCTCACCGGGGTTGGGGTAATCCCAAGC